TGTGTGTGTGTGTGTGTGTGTGTGTGTGTGTGTGTGTGTGTGTGTGTGCGCGCGCGCGAGTGCAGGGAAGCCTAGAATGGATCCATGGTGCGGAGGAGGTGGGATTGTTAGCATTGACAGAGACTAGAAGTTAACGCACTGGTATACAGAAGGCCTCAAGTGGGCTTAATACCCCAAGCTTGTGATTGAACTTCGTCCGTTGAAACTTCTTGGAATTCGTATCTCACAATTCCAGCCTGAGCGCTTCCTCTCCCTTGAAAGGAGCTGAGCCTGAATGACCTCATCATGCGGGAATATGGAGAATAGATAATGTACTCAAGCCTTGTTTCTTTTCCCCGTACATGGAGTTGGATTTTTACCCCCCCGCCTTATTCCACTCTCTCCCTTAACAATGCTTGGAAGATAAATAAAGCCGATTGGCAATTGGATGTGTCTATGTGATACTGAGTTGTGGTGCAGGAAGCTCAGCAGATCCACGCGCATCAGGAAAAGGAGCTCGCGAAATTGAGGGAGGGAGGTCATGGCAGGCAGGCAGAAAGCAGCGCTGCCATACCGGTACTCCCTTTTTTCTTAAACCGTCAGTCCCTCGGACCCTCTTCTCCTCCATGTAAATTTTTGCTGCATGTCAATTTCTGCAGAACCAATACGGAGTGCGATTGCCTGGCGACACCAGCCTTCTCTGTTCGGTAGGCCCAACCTGCAGTTCTGCGGGTTAACCGGCGTGTAGGAACAGAATAGCTGGGAAAGGAACTGGTGGCTTAAACCACCAGTACATCAGGAAAAGCAGATTGAGCCTCTCCTAAAAGTTTGGAGGCCATGGACCGTCAATAAACTGAATCGGCGGTTCATGGCCTCTTCCTCTCTCATGGTATGCGTTTGCCTCATTCTTGTCTCATTCACTGTTATGATGTTATCTCAAGTCTTCCGCTGCAATTAGCTTGTGGTCGATGTGTATGGCAGGGTAGCCTACCGTCTTCACCCGATTAGAATTGTTACGGACTTCGCCAGGGCTCGATCCCTGGTCTATCTTTTGCTGTTTCGGCTGCATCCCGTTTTCGGCCTGGCACCCTTTTTCCAAACCCCTCCTTTGGTACCGTAGGATTTTGGACAACTGGCGCCATGCTGCAATTCGGG